ATTAGAATCCCTGTAACCAAACTTAGGGAGGGGGGTTACATAACATAAATGCCAATAGAAAATGAAGTGTCAGTCCTAAAATACATTTTACTGGTACATGCCAAGCTGGCCACCTACTATGTGTTCAGGGAAAGAGTTTTATTCCTGGTAACAAGTCCTCTGGCTCAAGCAGACCGGACTAGCCTAGATCTAAAGTCATGACACTTGCTGCAGTCCAGTATTATGGCAGTCCAAATGGTCAAAGGAACTTTTCAACTTGAATAAACTCTGGAAGGGATTTTAAAATCAAAATGTAACCAGTGGCGGTTTAAGGCTGCAAGGGGAAAGTTTTGGCACCACTGTCAATGAGCATCACACCAAATATATGTGATTTGCTCATACTTGTTTCTAATTCTTAAATAGACACATGACAAAATCTGGATTTCAGGGTTGTTGTTTTTTTAATGTTTTATTTATTTCTGAGAGAGAGAGAGAGAGAGGCAGCATAAGCAGGGGAGGGTCAGAGAGAGAGGGAGACACAGAATCTGAAACAGGATCCAGGCTCTGAGCTGTCAGCACAGAGCCCGATGTGGGGCTCGAACCCAAGAACCCAAGAACCCAAGATCATGAGATCATGACCTGAAAAGGAGTCAGAGGCTTCACCGACTGAGCCACCCAGGCGCTCCTGGATTTCACTTCTTAAAAGCGATCATTCTGCCTACTTGCGTCAAGAGAGTGTGTGAGTCCCAACAAAAGGGCCTGCCGACAGGAGACACCAAAAGGGTGGGTGCTGTCCCACATGGGGCTTTCAGTGAACCCCTCCTTGGAAGGACCCTGCATCCAACAAGCTCGTTAGCCCTCAGATCCAAGAAGGCAGCGCTTTACCCTGAACGATTTATATGCAGCGCCAAATCAGGGCGACTGACAGGCGGAGTCTTTACAGGGGCTTTGGAGTCCTCTGTGCTGGGAAATCCTAACCTAAAACATTCCCTCTCCCAAGACTTCCCAGCAAGGTTTGTATTTAACGATCACCATTAAATGAATGGTTGAAGCCATTTCCACTCATTTTTACCCAATTGGAGCCGGCCAGCCACTAACTCTGGAGTAGTGACACACCCAGCCCTTCCCATCCGGCCATGCTGAGCACAAACAGAAATGAGCTCCCCCCTCGTCTCTACTGGTTAGCGGTTGGGACCGTGGGGTTCCAGGCCTCATGGCTTAGCTAGCAGAAGCTTTGGGTAAAGAGATGAGTCCCCCAGGGACAGAGATGCTGATCTCCACAGAGAGGGGTGCAAGCTACAGCTCTCAATCTACAAAGGTCTTCCTTCAGGTACAGAACGCTGGTTGAACAAAGGCCAAGGAGAGAAAAGTGTGTTTCTGAGGAGGCAACACCTGAATGCTGGCAGCTCCCTGGAAAGGGGGGCAGAGCTGAAGCCAGGGGTTCAAGACACTGGGGGGAGGGGATCACCAACAGGTGTACACAGCCTGCCGGGGCATCAATTTATCTAAATTTTACCTGAGGTGTGGCTAATTTAGAGAACATCAGGGGGACATTACATTAAAGGGATTACCATCATTTAAAGCAGGCAGCAAACCTTCTCTGCATAGGGCCAGCTAGTAAATATGTCAGGCTTTGCAGGCCATATGGTCTCTACCGGAATTGCTCCGTTTTGCTGATAACACGAAAACAGCCACAGACAAAATGGAAATAAGTGGGTGTGGCCGTGTCCCAATAAAACTTTAGCTACAAAATCAGACATCAGTGAGATTTAGCCCTTGAGCCACGGTTTGGCGACCCCCAACCCAGACAACTGAACCCCACCAGAAGTAAGACCGGGCTACAGATCTAACGTGTGAAAACAAAGACCTCAAGAACGCACTATGCTCGTGCTGACATCTCTTCAGAATCCGTAGATCTCTCAGGATCATTCTGATGTTTTTGAACTGAATTAAGTGGGAATCCCGCCAACTGCCTTACTTAGTACTACAAACTATTGAAAACTGCAAAAATTCTAGATATCGCTCTGCATCACGCAAGGGCCAGAGGAGGACAATCACACAAAATCTGCTCAGAGGCCGCTTCAAGGCGGGCAGGCTCCCAGGGCCACACGGAAGCTCATGAGGAGAGGAGTCCGCTCTCCCCACCGGACGAGCCCTGCCCATCGGAGAAAGCGCCTCACTGACAGCTAGTCCACCACAGCAATGCCTTGTGGAAAATGTAAAAAATATACAAAATAAAGAGTCACTGGAAATAGCGGGTTATAAGTCAGCATTTGCAAAGCAAATTGGGTTACCTGTGTTTTTCGTCAAGGAGTCACCGCTCCCAAAATAAATACCAGTGCACTTTATTCCAACCCCCCCCACCCCACCCCTGCCCCTGCCTTCAGAGGGAACAGGCTTTGTCCGCAAGGGTGAAGGCTGGACAGTGAATACACGGAAGGCGGGCTCTGCAGAGCAGCAAGGGGGAAGTGAACACCGACCCCGTTAAAGCTCTGATAGAAAATGATTTTCCTAAAAGCCCACAAGTCTTGGAAATGAAGATGCCCGATTCACTCTGCATTCAGTTATTCCATTTGAAATGGGCAGAAGAGTGGTGATAGCAATTTCTAAATTGACGTGTTTCATAGTTCAGGAGAAGGAAGGACTTTATCTGGAAGCCACAGCCTACTTGGGCAAGGACACCGTCTAAGGCAGCCACGCGGGATACAAAAGCGAACTTAGGGACGCCGAAAAGCCACGTGCCTATCTTCAGCCTCTTTTCTTTAAGCCTGAAACCGCTGCTGCTGAGGGAAAGTTATTTGCGAGGATTTGACTGCTTGGAATTTTCAGTGCGATATTATTTCAAAAAGTAAAAATAAAAGCCTTGAGTGTCCCCTGGACCTGTGCTTCCCAAGAGTGAAGAAGGGCGGGGGGGGTGAGGGTTTGAGGCCCAGCGCTAAAGGCTATTTCTGAGGGGAGGCCAGAGCTGGGGAAGAAAGCGGGGGGTTGTTTGAACAGGACAAGCTGGCTGCCCCCAACTTCACCAACACTCTGTCCGCCCTGAACTTTGGGATTTACCACCACAGCCCCTGGACCACAGGCACCTGCCTGCAGCGTCCGCAAAGTGGATTATTATGGACATCAGACAGGAGGCATCTTCAAGAGGTCCAAGGTCCCTAATGGACACCACATTTGTTCTCAATGCTGCAGAATCCCCTTCTTTACAATGACTAAAGATCCATCGAGGGGCGCCTGGGTGGCTCAGTTGGTGAGAAGTCTGACTTCACCTCAGGTCATGATAGTTCATGAATTCAGGTCCCGTGTCGGGTTCTGTGCTGACAGCTCAGAGCCTGGAGCCTACTTCGGGTTCTGTGTCTCCCTCTCTCTCTGCCCCTCACCCACTCGCACTCTGCCTCTTTCTCTATCAAAAATAAACACTAAAAAAAAAAATTTTTAAAGATCCATTGAAACACAACCCTCTGTGTCATCCGGACCAACTCAACTGGTCCTGGGTCACAATCTTTGAAGCTTCTGACACTGCAGATCTGACAGAGCATGCGCCACACCCAAAGGTCTGCTACCTAACATCATAGAACAGCATGTAAACTCTGACACAGAAAATAACCAGTGGTCACGTACCTTACTGATTGAAGGAAAAAAACCGTCTGAGCACAAGAGTATAGGAATGAGATCTTTTAATTTCCTGGTTAACCAAGTGTTTAATAAAAAAAGATTTTACTTAAGTCCTTAAGCACTTTTTTTTCTTAATTATCCTACACTGTGCTGGTCCACACCTTCACATAGGAACAGTCAAGGCCATCGACCCAACATATTGCTTCTTGGGTGACTGAGGACCCAGCCATTATTTTGTAAATAGCGTCATCATCAGTTTCGATACCACTAATGATTATGCAGCATCTACCTCAATAGAGAAGTTCAGAAGATATTCTGAACCTATGATGAGGTCTGAGAGCTGATGTTAAATAAATTCCTTTTCAATTTGTAAAGATTTTATTTGCCTCTTTGCCTTCATAGACAAGTACAGTCAAGAGTTCTGCTCTGGGACGGTCACCTGCTCGACTGTACGGGACATACGTTCACCTCCCACGCTCCCCCTGATGCTGTCGGGGGGTGTATGCAGGGGCTCAAGAAGAGGTTACTGAAAATTAAGAGGGACAGAGCAAGGAGACAATGGAGGAGGTGTGCAAAGGGTGAGAAGATAGAGCTTATGAAAGAGAAGGCTAACGGGGGGGGAGGGGGAAGGGGGGCTGTGAGGAGCTAAAGGGCAGAGAGAACTTGCCAGAAAACACCCAAATGTAATTCTATGTTTTATCTGTGTCAACCAACCTGAAGATGCAAACCCTTACTCAGAGCAGTTTGGGTCTCACAGGTATGTGCACTGATGTTAGTGGATCAAAACAAAGTAAGAATAAAACCGCACGGAAAGTTCCGGTACAAGCATGGGCTCTGCCACTGCTCCACTCGGGAGCCCTCGATGCTAAGGAGATGCACCGGGAGCCATCCACCTAGACGTCAGTAGCTGAGAGGGTTAACCCAGAGACTCAGACAAGGACGAATTCCCCAGCTTCACAGAGGAACAAGGTCCTATTCCCAAAGGGGCTCAGCGACTAGCCGAACCCTGCAGCAGCCTCTGGCCAAGGTCATGACCCACTGCTCTTCCCCATACTCCATGACCCATCAATTTTGGCTTCAAAAACCCAGGTGGCTGAAATGTGTCCACACACCACGCAGACCAGTCAGGAACCCTCAGACAGAACCTGCTGTCTCTAGTCCTTCCAAACCAAACAGCCACCGTCTTTGGCCGAGTGTCCGGCCCTCGGAGAACTCGTGGTCGGGCTCCCCGCCCCCCTCACGTGAGAACAGTGCGGCTTCAAAAGAGGCCACAGAACAACTGCAGAAAAGGCCGTCAACACATTTCTAAATGAGACAATCACTACAAAACACTTCATTACAGTTAAAAGGTAAGCAGGTTTCATTACAGCACTGATAAAAATGACAAACAACGGTAAGTTTTGGCCTACCTATGCCTGAATTGGCCCCAGTAACCACGACGACTTTGCCAGTGAAATCCCGGCCCTGGAGTATCTCCATGGCGGTGGTGCTCCCGTCATATCTCTGTCTGCTGGTTGGCTTTGTGGGATTGTCGTCCACAGTAAATGCCAGTCTTGGGTCCAAATAGGTGGTTCTTTTATTTATATGGCTGCAAAGGAGAAAGGAGTGAACCCGGGCATTTATAAGCATGAGATAATCTTACAGTTTGAGCGAGGCAAACCCCATTTCTCATGTACTAGAAAGGCTTATTCTTAACCCCGAAAAGAACTGGCATCCATTTAAATCTGTCTTCTGGCCTCCAGAAGGATTACACTCCTGCCTGGAAAGACGGTCATCAAAATCCTTCTCCTCAGAACTGCCTGTAAAATATGCTGTTACATACAAAAAGCATTGCCTCGTATCCGGAGATCTTAAAAAAGGAGGCGGCTTTGGGATTTTTTTTTTAATCCATGTAAATATGGCTGTAAGATCTCTCAGCCACTCTTATCCTGAGATTTCAGTGAAATATCTGAACCCTGTGCAAGGACATAAGAAAACTGGTGGGAGATAGAAACCTCAAAATAATTTAAAAAAAAAAAAAAGTCTGAACATTCTGAAGTTGTAATGATTTTCATGTTAACGCCGTATTCATACCTCCGGCAGGCACTGTACTTGTGACCTGGAGTTGAGTTAAGCCTTGTAGAAACAATATTAAAATACACTGGTTCATGTGAATTACTAGGTGACTCCTATGTCACAGATTTACTCCTTTAAGTTTTAAATGTACTCTCTCGGATCAGAGACAAAAGACCTCAAAATATCTTAAAAACCACTAAGAACTAACTCCACTGAATAGACGAGATTTTGTGATTCAAAGTTTACTTGTACTACGTGTGCGCACTTAAAATGATATAGTTTAAAACTCTAGGGGGCGCCTGGGTGGCTCAATCAGTTACGCGTCCAACGGTGGCTCAGGTCATGATCTCACAGTTCATGAATTAGAGCCTCGCGTTGGACTCTGCTGACAGTTCAGAGAATGAAGCCTGCTTCAGATTCTGTGTCTCCCTCTCTGTCTCTCCCCTACTCGCTCTCACTCTCTCCCTCTCTCAGAAGTGAACAAACATTAAAAAAGGTTTTTTAGGGGCGACTGGGTGGCTTAGTCGGTTAAGTGTCCGACTTTCGCTTGGGTCATGATCTCGCGGTTCGTGGGTTCGAGCCCCGCGTCGGGCTCTGTGCTGACTGCCAGCTCAGAGCCTGGAGCCTGTTTCGGAGTCTGTGATTCCCTCTCTCTCTGACCCTCCCCTGCTCACGCTGTCTCTCTCTCTCTCCTAGAAATAAATAAAACATTAAAAAATTTTTAAAAAAAGAAAAAAAAAGGTTTTTTAATCTAGACTCATCACCCTGTAAATACAAAGAGCCAAGAAGAATCCAGCTTCCATCTTACTTATAGCCAGAGCTGTGAGGGAAGTGTTTGACGGGCACCATGTGAGACCCCATGGCGTGCCGGGGGGGCGACCAGCCGGGGCCACGCTGCACGCCTCTCCAGGCTCCTCCCTGACCTCCCTTAGGGAGGCTGAGAGAAGCTAGGGTGAAAGCCTGTGCACCATGGAGGCCGACCTGGGCTTCCTGCCCCACCCCGCCCCAAGCACCAGCTTCAGACCTCACACCAGCATGCGCAGGTTCACAGGCTCACAGGAAGAGGCCAAGGAACTACATGGGAATTTAACATCAATGCCCAGTGGGTAATGTGATAAATTATAGTATATCTGTAAAAAAATAATAATAAGACTCCATGGCCATTGAACACCACTGTCTTAAAAATATATATATGAGAAAATGCTCATAAGATACTTCATGGGAATAAAACAGGTTAAGGAACAGTTCATACAGTACATTCCTTACTTTAGTTAAAAGAAAGCATGCGTATAGAAACCAGACTTAGAAAATAAATCAAAAAACTGTTAAAAGTAGTTATTCCTATTGATAAAATTAGTTATATATGCTACGAATATTTCTATATTCAAGGTGCATTACAACTGAAAATTCCTATTGTGAGGCAAAACGAGGGGCACCTGGGTGGCTCACTCACCTGAACATCTGACTCTTGATTTCAGCTCAGGTCATGACCTCACAGTAGTGAGATCGAGCCCCACATCAGGCTTAGGGCTGTCAGCATGGAGCCTGCGTGGGATTCTCTCTCCCTCTCTCTCTGACGTGCGCGCACACACGTACATGCACACTCTCTAAATAAATAAACACACTTTAAAGGAAAAGAAAAATGACTGAGAATAGTTCCTATGTAGCCACTTACTCGACAAAAAAAACTTGTCCGTTCTCATCGGTTTCTTGTTCCCATCCATACGGCAAATCTGAAACACAGGAAGACTGGCAGGTGTGTGCGCGGCAGGGGTGGGGTGAACGGACACCCAGGCCCTGGGTCGGGGGCCCCATGCCCTCCACCCACGCCCCGACGCCATCCCAATGACCAGCAGCCACGCTGAGCCACATCAGCTGTTACAGAAAGCCGGTGAGATACCGCCTGGGCCGGCCCACCCCACTCTCCTCGCCTTGTCTGCCACGGCCCGCGAGCTCCTCCCCACAAGGAGAGAACCTTCAAGGAACGAGAACGGCCTGTCGCCCCTCTGACTGTGACGGTTTTCTTCTGCCGTGAATACTTTAAATACAAGGTTCTTTGCTTTAGGAGAACAACATACAAACCTCCCGCAATTCGTTTCCTTTTCCCAGTTTTCGGGTGTTCCCACTGGGTCTTCTCTTCAGCGTGACTGTCAAAAAAAAAAAAAAGGTTAAAAATCCACAAAAAGCAGTAAGTGAAGGTTACACTTCTAAAACTTAATTAGCTGCATTAAGTCTTTTTCCCTCCCAAACAATACTCTCAAGAGTGGTAAAGCCAGAGCTCAGAAAAGGAAATGCTCAGAACATAAACGTTACGGTTTGCATCGGATCAAATGCCCTGGGTGAGGAGGAGAAGCAGCCGGAGGAAACCTCTGGAAGGAAAGTCGCTGAGCGGCTCAGAGGAGGGAGGGAGCTCTGGGACCAGGTCTGGGTCAACTCCCGGAGCTCAGCGAGGCCCTCACAACAGCCACAGGTGCTCCGCAAGTGTCTCAGTTTTATTCTGGGCCAGGTGCCCAGACTTCAACCTGATGTGTGATGCTGATATTTACATATCATTACACAAAATATGAATCTTCTCAAATGTTTATTCTTTCCACAGATGAAACTTCAAAGTGTTTTAAGCACTGACTCCTAATTGCTCTCAAGACTGTAGAACGCAGCAGGATAGCCCCAGGGTCACCTAACTGCCCACCTCGCCAGGTTACTCAACATCAGAACCTCGATTTTCCTACCTGCAAAATGGAAAGAATCCTAGAACCAATCTCAAGGAAATGCTCTGGGGAAAGGTGCATAAAGGGTTGAACACAGTACCTAGCATATATATAAAAAGCCTCAAAAGTGCTACCTATTATTTTAAACAAGTCAAACAAACAAACTAGTCTCATTTCTGTGGTAAATTTAGCATTTTATCTAACAGCATACAAAGTTATAATTAAAATCAGGAGCCAACAACAGACTAGACACACTGGCCAACAGGTGATGAAGTATCGGGAAAAACATAAAATTACTTCATAGGAGAAGCAGCTGGATGTTGCAAGAGACATTCAAAGGGGAGGCTGGATTTCCTAGAAGGTCACACACTCATGCCCCAGTAGAAAATGATAATTAATCACTGACATCTAGCTGATGATAAAATCTGCACAGTGCTTCCCTACCAACTGCTTTAAAGAGAACGAATAGAGCAAGAACTCACTGTCAGAATTTACACCCGGCAAGCAAGGTTTTTCCAGGAACTGCCGGCTTGTGGTCTGTTTTTGCAATGTTTTGCAGTGGCAGATGCAGGGTCACTGCGGACACTGGACTCGGGGCCACATACCCAGGCTCCCGCATGCCTGCAATCGGCCAGCCAGGCTCCCTGCCCCACGCCCGCCGCACAGAATCACTGAAAGGTAAGGGACGCTCTACCTGGGACAGTGACTAGTGAACAGTGAAGTCACTGTACAAATGTCGGGTTATCAGCAGCAACGACCACCTCTGCTTGCACATTGGCCACCGTGAAATCCTACTTGCAGAAAGGGGGACCCTGAGTCCCCAGTAAGGATGAGCCGCTCCTCGCCCACTGGAGGGACCCCGTCAAGGGCACCCGCTGTTCTGCTCTTTGCCCTGCTGAACGTCCTGCTTCCCAAGGCTTACGGGGCGCCTGGGTGGCTCAGTCAGTTGGGCGTCTGACCGCAGCTCAGGTCATCATCTTGAGGTTCACGAGTTCAAGCCCCACGTCGGGCTCTGCGCTGACAGCCTGGAGCCTGTTTTGGATTCTGTCTTCCTCTCTGACCCTCCCCCACTCATTCTCTGTGTCTCTCTTTCTCTCTCAAAAATAAACCTTTAAAAAAAATTGTTTTAAGAGTTTACACGTGATCACACTTTCCTCTGCCTGGTGTCACGAGGAGTTTTCATCCCATGGGCAGGCATCAAATGAGCTCTGAGCCGAGCGCCACGAAGACCTCCCTCGAGGCTCCATAAAGCGCCCCTGAGAAAGAAGCGCGGACCCTCACACCCCCAGCCCTGTCCGTGTGGCCGCCCCAGCATAAAGAGGGGGAATGCGTAAATGTTCTCCAAAGGAGCCGGAAAATTCTCTCAGAACAAGTTTTTGCTATCCTGAGAGACTGTTAAGAAAACAAAACAAGCATTGTCACCCTGCGTTTTTCTTCTGACAGAAAATGCCAAGCCAGGCTCCTTCCACGGGCACTCCTGACACTCCAGCCAGGTCGCTCTCTGCGGGGGGCTGTCCTGTCGTGGGTGCTGCGGATGCTTAGCTGTGTCCCCCGCCTCCGCCTACCACATGCTGACAGCCCGTCATTGTGCAAACAGAACGCACCTCCAGACATTGCCAACTGTCCCCTGAAGGACATAGTGTCCCCGAGGGAGGACCCCAGGCCTCACAGCAAAGAGTGTGATTTGGGAGTAAGACTGTCGGCGCCCACTGCTCATAACTGCTGGCCCTCCCACTCACCAGCCACGTGCCCTTGAAGAGGTGTCTAACCTCCCTGTGCCTCAGTCTCTCCATTTGTAAAATGGGACCAGTAACACCACCCGCTCCTCACGGTTACAGAGGGCTGAATGAGAGGACATGTGTGAAGAACTGAGAACTGGGCCTTGCACACAGAAGTACTGATCTGAATAAATACTTACATGCAAAACTTAATTAAAAAGTGTTCTTAATTGTAACCTAAAATGACTTTTTAATGAACAGAAAATCACGACACACGTCCCCAAAGTGTTATCTTCTTTTCCTTTAAACAGAAGCCCTCTTCTGTGTTTTTTCAATAAGCTTGTCATTTAAAGAGATAATTAACAGTGATCTTAATTTAAACCAAAAGAATCAAAATTAAATTCATACCACATTACATGGATATCATCTCAAGTATGCTATTCTAGAAAAAAATTTTTTTGAAGTATAGTTAGTTAACTTGGAGACTGAGAGCAGACTGTGAAGACGGCTTCAGAAGAAAAGGGGGCCGGGGGTGGAGGGCCCAGGGGCGCAGGTGACTGCAGGGACAGCACCGGGCACTGAGACCTCGTCCTTCCGTCCCCACCTCCGGGCTGGGCCAGAGGGGCTGCTCTGGACCAGGTGAGGGAGGGAGAAACGCCGCCCTCGCTCTCTGGTGCCCGGTTCCCCCTCAGGGGCAGGATCATCCTCTCCCTGAAAGCCTGGCCCAGTGGGCCCTGGAGCCAAGCGACCCGTGAGCTTCTGAGAGCACCATGGGGCACGTGGGAAAGCACGAGGGGCCCACAGAAGCCACACGATGGGAGAGGGGCACCGCTATGAGCCAGGGAGGGGGTCTCATTAGGATCCCAGAGTGTCGCTGGGAGCTACAGCCTCTGACCTTGGGGGTGGCCATGCTGCCCTTGAGAGGAAGACCATATGACAACAGTAAGGCCGAAAGGGCAGTTTTCTTTTAGCCCATTAGCAGTTTCCCGAACCCCAAGGGAGAACAAGTAACACCTTCAGAGATAAAAGAAGGGCTAGGATGCTTGCAGGTCAGGAAAGATCAAGGGGAATCCAGGAGTAGGACTGGTCGGAGGCCTCCTTCCGCCCGGAAGGCTGAAGAACAGAGGGCTACAGAGACTGGAGAGGGGGACCCCCAGTTAGGACCCAGCCAAACCCTGTCACTACATTCGGTGTAAACAATGGGACGAGACAGGCCAGTTTGAGACCCAAAACACTGGGGAGCGGTGGGCGGAGGGCCTTGGAGACAGTATATGCACTCCGACCGCAAGCCCCCCCAGAAGCTCTCAGAGGGGCTCAGGGAACGAATTACTTCACTCATTACACAGGCACTTCCATTTCCCAGGTGCTAAGCACGGGAGATACCGAGGGTAACAAGGTCCCCGCCCTCAGGAAGCTTACAATCCGGGGGAGGAAGACAGCGCAAACCAGGAGAGAAGGGCTATAAGACTACAGACAAGGCCAGGGACCCTGACTCGGGTAACCAGGTGCTGGGAGGAGGGTGCCGGGGGCGGGGACAAGGGGAAGGTCTCCTGGGCAGGAGCAGTTAAGCTCAGCTCTGGGGGGATCCAGACAGAGGGAACGGCCAGTGGGCGCTCAGAAGCTGCCTGGAGCCAGCCCCCCAACAGCCTAATGGCTCCCTGCGGCCACGCTCCTCCCTTCAGTTCTCCAGGGCCAGAAACCATCTTCCAGAAGAAGGAAGACGTAAACCCGACGACACTCCCTGGCCGCAAGCCTTCAGCGGCCCCCAGGGCCTGACGCTGGAGCCCCAGCCCCTCCATAAACTGCGGCCTCAGTCTTCCCACGGCTCCGGCAGCACACGGGCCACACGGAGCCCTCCGCTAGGCTGCCTCCACCTGGGCCGGCCCGAGCATGCCCACTTCTACCTGTGCGGAGGCCACCTCTCTGGGGCTCACCTGCGGGGCCCCCCACCTACCACACCTGCGTCCTGCCAGCAGGCTACACGGGAACCACCCACGCGTCACTCCGGCAGGTAACACCGGTGGCAGCTGGGTCTTATTTATCTCAGCATAAGGAGCACCCAGCAAAAAGCCTGGCACGTGATAAAACCCCACTGTGTCTTGAATGAATAAACTCTCCAAGGTCTTTTTTCCTTTCTTTTCTTTTCTGGGTTTCTTTCTACCAAGCAACCAAAGACAGCAGCGATTTCCAACCTTGGAGAATCGCCTGGTCTGATTTTACAACATACCAGTGGAGGCGGGGAGGGCCCAAACCAGTTACATGAGAATTTCTGGAGGAGGATCCAAGGATAAGATATTTTCTGAGTTTTCAGATAATATATTGTATGTAAATAAAATATTTACATCTGTGTTTCTCAAAGCCAACTGAGAACCTACCTTGCAAGGAAAGCCTATAAATACAGATTTCCCCAAGGTGGGTGTCGGCGGCCTGAGGGTCTTTGAAATCTGTACTGAGAACCAATGGCAGGTGATTATATCAGACTTAGGCGGTGCTGTCACAGCTGCAGAGCGGGTAGCGGGCGGGGGAAGTGAAAGTATTGAGTACTTATTAGATCTGTGCTAAGTGCTTTACGTACGCTGCCTGAATTGGAACTCTAGCAACCCATTTTACAGATGCAAAAGACTGAGGGTTCTTTCAATGGCCCAAAGTCACACACTTATTGATGGGAAACAGGGTCTCTTACTAGTGTTTCCAAAACTTTGCGGGGAAACTACCGGAATTCTATTATATATACACACATCAGTATGTGTATGTAGATATACATATGCATAACTATATTAGGGCATTTATTTAAAATACATACTTCGAGCTCCCTGCCCCAGAACCCCCGAGGCATCGGCTTTTTTGTTTGTTTTTTCTGATTTTTTTTTCGGGAGAGGGAATAAGGCTCTTTAGCCACCATGACTTCGTGCAGCGCCGCTTCCTGAGCAGCAGAGGGCGCGCCTGAGCGCCGCCAGGTGACCCCACCGGACCCAGGGCGAGAAAGGCAGCCGACCCCTCCTCAGGACCTCGGGGGCCTCCCTGAGGAAGCTCTTTAACTCTCACCGCCGCTTCGCGCGGCCCTCGCGCCCGTCCCCGCGCAGGGGGCGTTCGGGGCAGCGCAGGGGCCCGGGCGCGCGAGGCCGTCAGGGCTCCAGGTGCGGCCCCTCCAGGTGCGTCCCAGGCCCGGCGGCCCCCCTGCGGCCCCTTACTTGGCGTAGTAAACCCAGCCGTCCTTGGTGGTTCTCTGCTCCCAGCCCGGGGGCAGCTCGTCCTCGCTGTCCGTGTCGTCCAGACCCGCGTAGCGCAGGGCTGCCATGGCGGCAGGGGAAGCGCTCGGTCACCCGCTCGCTCCGGTGCCCGCTGTCGGGTCTCCTCACCCAGGAACTCTCTCCCGCTACAACCGAGCGCCGCGCGCGGCGAGACCCACACGCGCGCGCCTGCGCACTGCGCCGCCCAGAGGCGCTCAGCCGCCTCGGCAGCTGTAATCCAGTCTCCGGAGATTCGCGGCTGTCGGGATGAAAGGGGCGTGGCCCTGAAAGACCGGCGGTGAAAGCACCGCGGAGGGCGCACTGCCGCTCGGCTGGAAGTAAAACCCGGTGGGCGCTTTGTGATTCTGGAGCGGAGCTTCGTCCTCCTCCCGGGCCGCAGGGAAGGGGCGTGCGCACCCAGTCCGGGTCCAGAACTCCGCCCGCGGCGGAGCGACTTGCAATGACTTCCGCGTTGTTCTGACCAATCCTGAAGCAGCGCCGGCAAATGAGCATCCTGGGAAATGTAGGCCGGGCCGAGCTGGCGCAGAGCGCGGAGCGGAGAGCAGCGATGCGGCTGCTGGTGCTCTGGGCTCTGGCGTCTCCTTCTAGGACAGTGTGAAGAGTGGATGTCCCTTCTCAGAAAGCTTCCAGAGCCTCCCATCACGCAGGCTGATTCACACACTTTATTGTGCATGGGACCGTAACGTTATAAAACGTGGGAACGTTAAAAATGCGCACGTCCGCAACCTTCCAACGACCCAGCGTCGGAAAAGTTTTTTTCCAGCCACAGCAAAACTCTGTTTATAAGTAAAGGGCTACCGTTGATAAAGGGCCGAGTTCTGGGCCAAGAATTCATGGACTTCTCTCATGTGCCGGACGCCTCCGTAACGTGGGCAGAGTTAGGAGACAGAACAGAGGAATGACTCGCAGTGGAGACTCTATTGCTCATATTAGTGACTTATTTTATCTGCCTGCTCCTGACAGAACTCACTGAGCGCCGCGTCTCTTCTTCTATCGCCAGCACTTAGTAAAAGGCCTAGACCTACAAGTTTATTGAATGAAATAAATTAATGCATCAAGGTGATGGCTTAGGTTTGGCCTTCTACAAATCGACTTCGTTTAAAACGAAATTCCCAATCTACAAAATGGCCTCTCTCAACCCCTCCTGGGGCACCGACAAGTATTCTATACATGTCCTGTGTCCAAAACTGGAAGCGTATCCTTAACGTGGCCTTGTCTACGGAGTTTTCCAGAACATTCCCCGATTGAAACTTGCTCCCCAACTCAGCATTCCAGGGAAATCTGCTGACCAGAATTTTGGTGGCCTACGTCTCAGAAATACGTAAGCCTCCATCAGAGAAATTAAATATTTAAAGGGGTGGGAGGATGGGGAGAGAGGGGGCTGTGTGGCTTTCAGGCTTCCTCAGGTCCTAAAATTGATATTGCTTTGGGATTCCTGCCCTGTCTGCTCTTTAGGGAAGACACTTGCTTTCCTTTGAAGGTGCCCAACCAAAAACAAACCTAATGAAAAGTCTAGTTTAGTTTTAACAGGTTTGCTATCACATCTCAGATTTATCAAAATATCACTCTCCAATCCATGTGCATTTAAATAAGTTAATTTAGGGGTGCCTGGGTGGCTCAGTCGGTTAAGCCTCCGACTTGGGCTCAGGTCATGATCTCTCGGTTGGTGGGTTCCAGCTGTGCTGACAGCTCAGAGCCTGGAGCCTGTTTCAGATTCTGTGTCTCCCTGTCTCTGACCTCCCCTGCTCACACTGTCTCTCTCTCTCTCTCAGAAATAAATTATTTTTTTTAATTTAATAAATAAATAAGTTAATTTATTAATGAGCTGCTCTTCTGCTCACTCTAATTTAGACCCTCGTCTCTGTCACACAAGGCTATTTATTCCTTTGATGTAAATACAGATTAGGTCACAATGCCTCCTAATGATGGTGAGGGGAATAAATGGAATCAGTTGATTAGTCTTAGTCTCTCCGATCATAATCTGTAGCTCTGTTCAAGGACTGACTGCTTCGATTTATCTTAACTCTGCTGCTGCACCTGATGCCTGTGACCCAGCATCAGGCCACAGGTAGTGACAGAGTATGGTGTCTTCCCCAAGCTTGGTGGTGGTCTCCTTGGTCGAATTCTCAACCTCTAGAGCAACCCTCTGTCCTTCCTACCACTTAAATTATGTCCTCAAGTCTTCTCCTGCCATGAACATCAGAGTTTCTCAATCTCAGCACTACTGACATTTGGGGCCAGATAATTCCTGGTTGTGGAGGGGGAGGGGGCGCGGAGGCGTCTATCCTGTATATTGTAGTATATTTAGCAGCATCTCTGGCCTTCCGGGCCAGAGATTCACAAGGTGGGATGCAGACGCTGCTGGCTCAGATGGGAGGTCTCTAACATTGCCGGAGGGCCCTGGCTTCTTCAGTTCCTAGTCCCTCAAAACAGGTGAGAGACCTGGGCTGACAGAAGTCTGGCTGAGTGGCCCAGACAATACTAACGGTCCCAAATGGTTATGACGACCTCATTTTGTTCTTCTCTGTGGCTTCTATCAGACTGCTAAAGAAGTACGATGGACGGACATTTGGGGACCTGTGAGGGTAGGCATGTCAGATTTTGGAGTTTACAGTCTTTTGGCTTCACTCAGACTGATACTGGTTGGGTCATACTTATTTGATTGTGAGCAACAATTCAAAAGTTTATATCCAGGGTGTGCGTGAGCTCATTAGAATGTTATTAGGGCCTGAGGGAGCCCGAAGACAGGCACCTCTTTTTCCTCTCTTGGATTTCATGGTCTCTTGCTGCCCCCTCTCTGCTCTGCTCTCCCTTTACTGGCTTCCTCTACTTACTAACAGTTCTGTGCCCCTTGAAGTTCAACTTATTCATGGCTTTGACTTTGGCCTATACAAGGATCTATAAGAGGGCGAACTTGTGTAGCGTGTACGATTATTATGGGTTTGGAGAGCCTGAAGTTTGGGAATGAGCCAAGGTCCTCAAGATGTACCCCTAAGAAAGCCTAAAGAGAGGTTTGCTCTTGGAAAGCCAACCAAATCACACTGATTGGTAGTGAGGAGATTAAAAGAAAATTCAATGTGTGGTTCTGTAGTGCACACCAGATGGCCATATCTGCCCACAATTTGAAAGGCCAATGACCATTTCTAACAAGGATTTCTACATCTGAACTGTCTTTTCTCTTTGAGTGATCATTTATGCAGGAAGTGACGATGTATGAGCATAGCTGGGTGTGTTCTTACTAAAAGCAGTTTGTCATGACTCACGCAGTGGACACAAGTTTTAGTGTAATATCCCTGGCCACCTCCACCCCCACAAACGCACACACAGACACCCCAACAATTCCGCAAACCTGATGTACCTGACATCACCATTCCTTGGGAAATTAAGCTTCATGTTTTTGTGCCAAAGTCAATAGGCTAATGAGACTTGGGAAGCTTCCTGGCTCTTCTGATGAACTTCTCAAGGGAAGTAACCAATAAGGAAGAATACTGCACAGGATTCTGGGGCGAAACTATCCGGATCATTGTGGCCTCACATAGGAAGTTATGTTTGTATTTCACTGATTATTCAAACACACAATGAGTGAGGAAAAAAGTATGCCATGTGTCTGATAAAGGAAGGAAGGAAGGAAAGGAAGGAAACATCCCCTGCATCTAAAAATCTATTAAGATAAGACCTACAGACACACACCTGGGTGGCTCAGTCAGTTAAGTGTCCAACTTCAGTTCAGGTCCTGATCTCACGGTTTGTGGGTTCGAGCCTCGCATCAGGCTCTGTGCTGACAGCTCAGAGTCAGGAGCCTGCTTCAGATTCTGTGTCTCCCTCTCTGCCCCTCTCCCACTCACACTCTGACTCTGTCTCAGATATAAAAAAAAAAAAAAAAAAAAAAAAAAACAGACACACAAAGAGCTATGCTTTGAGGGTTTTAAGAAAAGTTTGAACCAAGATGTACAGGTGAACAGATACAAGGGAGAGTTACAGCTGTAGGATTTCCTATTAATCTCTTTGGGACCAAACTCAGCAAATGTCACTTACAGTGACTTAGTAAGTCCAAGTCACTTACTTGGTAAGGCCAAGTCACTTCCCTTATTCTGTTATCAAGCCCTGTTTGTTCAGATGATGGAACTGGGACACACGGAATTTAAGTAACTTGCCCACAGTCACTCAGTGAGCAAGAGCCTGCAGGCCCTGGGATTCGAATCCAGACAAGAGGACTAGCTCCAAACTCGCCCTGTCAACCAACTTCCCCTTGTGCTGTCTTTCTAGAACAAGGGGTCCCTTTGATGATCCACAGATGGGTGCCCAGGGATTGCCACTATTCCATGGGAAAGTGAGAAAAATAAAAGAAATGAATTTTTCATACAGCAAAATATATTGCACTTAAAGTACTATGTTGCATGATTATATCTGTTCTACTTTTATTTATTTTCTGATGGTCTTATTTTATTCCTTTTTCTCAACATGTCTTTATTTATTTATTTTGAGAGGCAGAGAATCCCAAGCAGGCTCCACGCTCAACTCAGACCCAGCACAGGACTTGATCTCACAACCGCGAGATCATGACCTGAGCTGAAATCGAGAGTTGGGACCCTCAACCGACTGAGCCACCCAGGTGTCCCTCCCAACATTTCTTATTAAATTTTAAAACATCGAGAAAACTTGAAGCGAGTACAGTGAATGTTCATATTACCACCTTCCGGACCCACACACCTCCATATGGTCATTGTTAACTTCCTCCTACATCTGCCTTAAAGAGAAAACCTGATTCCCTGAAGCATTAGGAGAGAGTGATTTCATTGTATTACAGATTCCTCAGGACTAAATGATCAGGCTTATTGTCTCCTGGGCCGCAGCAAGGCACTCTTCCCTGGTGAACATATTTCCATCTCAAAATCAGATCCTCACATTTGGAAATTTTATTTGTAATATTTACATGTAAAGGCCTCACGGCTCAATGTAGCTTTAGTATATAACTGCTAAAATCCCACCATTCTCAAAATCCTATACTTGAGCCTAACTTCATGCCTGGCTACCTTCTGCCCCACAGAGAAAATTACCTTCCAGGGAGATGGTCCTGGTGCCCCGGGTCACTGGAAAACTGTGGTGAGGAGTCCATTCTGTTTAGTCTTCCACCACCTGCTTCGAGCATCAGGCACCAAA